CTAATGACCTCATTATTTGACTCAGGTGTGCTGAAGTAGAGACACATCTAAAAGTTGCAGGAGACCCTCCAGGCCTGGAGTGACCACCCCAGATCTAGAGTTACAGATCTAAAGTTGTAGATCTAAAGTTATAGATCTACAGTTAGAGATTTCAAGTTAGAGATCTAGAGTTGTAGATCTAGACTCAACACAAATGTTCTAGGAGTAGTGATGACCTCTGACCTGACCCTCTGGTTCCTCAGTGGACCTTCCAGCAGCTGCAGAACATTTCAGGACTAAAGTCTGAGACCAGAGAAACTCACCCAGGATTTAGTGGCTCTGATTCCTGCAGCAGGTCAGACTGACGACCAGAAGCTGCAGCTGGAGATCTGACTAGAACCAGGAGGGTAGAGACACCAGCCGGTTCTACATCATCCAGTTCTACATCACTCAGTTTTAAAGCTACGGTCTCTCAGTAGCTCAGAGAATAAACTATAAAATACTGTTAGCTTATAAATCACTGAACAGTTTAGCACCACATTAAAGATCTACTGTTGTCATAGCAACCTTCCAGACCTCTCAGGTTCTGGTTCTGCTTACCCAACGGTGTCAAGAAGCACAACCTGCAGAACTTCTTGTAAACAACTTGTAAAAATTAAATATTTTTTCTTTAAATGAAAAATGGTGTATAAATTATATTTTAAAGGAGGAGGTTAGGGAATGTGTTCATACTTCATATGTGTGTATCACGGTGTGAACATTTTTGAAACAAATGTAAAATTGAATGAATTCATTGGCTACAGCATTTTTACTGATGAAACAGCATAAATAGATGTTCATCAAGCTTCATTCATGTTCACTGACAAGCTTTTTTTTCTGACAAATTATCGAGCTGTATTTAGCTATTTATACCACACATGTTAATACACAAGAAGAGTTTTCTTATTTATATAATGAGATTTTTTTAGATGGTCAATCGCGATCCTTGTATCTGTTATTCGTTGTAACGAAGAAATCTGCGGTCTCCCACTTTTTCCGCAGGTTTTGAACGCGTCAGAAGCAGATCTAGCTTGTTAGCCCCGGTGTAGCAAAGATGCAGCTAGCTCTGAGTAAAACATTTGGCCAGAAACCAGTTAAGTTCCAGCTGGAGGAAGATGGAGACTTTTACATGGTGGGATCAGAGGTATGCCCGTGTGTGGTCACTGGTGCTGGAGGGTTGCTTCCCAGTAAAACCAGTCTGGGCTCTCCATCCTGCAGCCAGCCGCCGTTAGCATGCTAGCCGCCGTTAGCATGCTAGCCGCCGTTAGCATGCTAGCCGCCGTTAGCATGCTAACGCAGCTGTAAACAAAGACCTTAGTGGTTCTTGATTCATTCTGAGACCCAAAAACGGCTCATTAAATTAAAACTAAGTTATAAACTTAATAATCTGGAACCGAACAGCTGGAGAATATTAATAACGACGTTTATTTCCCAGACTGCTGCTGTTTTTACCGCAATTTGTCAGTTTTTATAGAGACTAAAATATAAGCTCATTTTTTAAGGTTGAGTTGCTGTTTGGAAACTGATTTTAACAATAAAAAGACTAAATACACAAAATGAATAAATTTTACACTGTTTAAAGAAACTAAAATATCGGTTTTTATGTCTGAAAGTGAAGGAATCGCCAGATTTCTGAGTTTTCTCCCTGATTTAAGCTGTAAAAATGCGTTTTAAAGTTAAGAGTAGAAGAGTGTTGATAACAGGAGGCTCATTATTTAACTGGAAAATTAAGCAGATGTGAGGAAAGAAACAGTTTCTGTGAAACTTATTAATGAAGTCAAACTTTGTGGCGGTTTGATAAAGACTGAAACCTCTGAAGGATTTATTTGTTCCCAGCAGATTTCCGGTTGTCCTCTCTGTAGTTGATGTTCTGGTTCTGATCGGGTTCTCTTCCTGTCTGTCCAGGTCGGGAACTACCTGCGGATGTTCAGAGGTTCCCTCTATAAGCGCTACCCGTCACTATGGAGGCGGCTGGCCTCCGTGGAGGAGAGGAAGAAGATCATGGCTTCATCACACGGTGCGTCCTGCTGCAGCAGTTCAGCTGCTTCATGCTGCAGTTTGGTTTTACTTTCTTCTTCTTCTGTGACGATCAGAAAAACTTTAATCTGCTGCATGAAGAAGAATCAGTTCCTCTGCTGAAACATCCGATTATTATGAACAGACGGTTTAATGAAGGAACAGTCAGTTTCCTCCCTTCATCAGCCTGAACTCTGCTGGTTAGAGCTGCTAGACGACCTCTGACCCCTGCTGTGTTCCTCCTGCTTACAGCCACCAGCGTGACGCTGCTGAAGGCCTCAGAGTGCGAGGAGATCTTCGACGGGAACGATGAGAAGTACAAGGCTGTGTCCATCAGCACCGAGCCTCCAGCGTACCTCAGGTAACCGGGTCGGGTCAGACCGGATTGGACCGGACCAGACCGGGTCAGACCAGACCGGACCAGACCAGACCGGGTCAGACTGGACTGGACCGGGTCGGGTCGCTCTCAGGGACCTCAGGCTGTTACGATGATCCTTTCAGACTTTGTATCTGTTCCACTCAGGGTGTTTGATGATTGATCAGGTAAAAACTAAAACATAATGAAACAAACTAACAACCAACCAGCCACCTGATCCGAGAAGGTCTGAAAGGAGCCAACAACATGGATAAAAACTAAACGCTGGAGACGGAGGTTTGAACCGTAAGGTACAGGAAACAGAGACAGACAGTTTTTCCTCTAACATGATGAATCTCCTCATTTTCTGGGCAGGAAGTAGATTGGTCCACTTCCTGTCTGATCAGGAAGCAGATCGGTCCACTTCCTGTCTCTGTTTCAGGGAGCAGAAGGCGAAGCGCAGCAGCCAGTGGGTTCCCACCTTACCCAACAGCTCCCATCACCTGGACGCCGTTCCTTCCTCCACCTCCATCAACAGAAACCGGATCGGCCGCGACAAGAAGAGGACCTTCCCCCTATGGTGGGAAACCCCGCCCCCATGGGGAAACCCCGCCCCCTCTGGGGAAACCCCGCCCCTCTGCAAGTCCCCCGCCCCTCTGGTGGGAAACCTCGCCCCTCTGGGGAAACCCCGCCCCCTTGTTTGAATGTTAGAACATGAAATGTTGATTCTGGTTGGTTCGCTCTGTAACTGGGTCGGTTCTGGTCGGTTCTGGTCTCCAGCTTCGATGACCACGACCCAGCGGTGATCCATGAGAACGCGGCGCAGGCGGAGGCGCTGGTTCCGATCCGGTTGGACATGGAGATCGACGGACAGAAGCTGAGAGACGCCTTCACCTGGAACATGAACGGTAACTGAGCCGGACCCGGTGCCGGTACCAGAACCGGACCCGGGCCTGACATTGCCTGTCCTCAGAGAAGCTGATGACGCCGGAGATGTTCGCCGAGATCCTGTGCGACGACCTGGACCTGAACCCGCTGGCCTTCGTCCCCGCCGTGGCGTCCGCCATCCGCCAGCAGATCGACTCGTATCCTAGCGACGGGCTGCTGGAGGAGCAGGCCGACCAGCGCGTCATCATCAAGGTGGGCGGGCGGAACCGGGCCGGGGCGTAACCGGGCCGGGGCCGGGGCGGAGGGCGGGTCTGACGGTGCCTGTCTGTGTGCAGCTGAACATCCACGTGGGGAACATTTCTCTGGTGGACCAGTTTGAGTGGGACATGTCGGAGCGCGACAACTCGCCGGAGGCCTTCGCCCTCAAGCTGTGCTCCGAGCTGGGCCTGGGCGGGGAGTTCGTCACCACCATCGCCTACAGCATCCGGGGGCAGCTCAGCTGGCACCAGCGCACCTACGCCTTCAGGTGAGCGCCGCCGAGCCCGGGCCGGCTCCGGTTCTGACCCGGTTCTGACCCGTTTCCCCTCTCCCAGTGAGAACCCGCTCCCCACGGTGGAGATCGCCATCAGGAACACAGGAGACGCCGACCAGTGGTGCCCCCTGCTGGAGACTCTGACAGACGCAGAAATGGAGAAGAAGATCCGAGACCAGGACAGAAACACAAGGTCAGAGGTCAACTCCTAGATGTGCTGAGGGTCAGAGGTCAACTCCTAGATGTGCTGAGGGTCAGAGGTCAACTCCTAGATGGACGAAGTGGTTCATTTAATAAAGTTTTTTAATTTAATTTTTTATTAAATCTAACTACCAGTCTCATGATAGATGGATCGATAGATGGATCCATCAGTTGATGGATCCATCGACCCGTCGCTCTGGGCCAAAGGTTTTAACCCCACCCCAACATCACCAGATTCATTTAAGGTTTTCACTCCTACTGATTCCAGTTTGTCTCCAGATTCAGTGACCAGAAAGTTTCTGACAAATTAAAATCTGTAGACGGCTTTTATATTCCAAGTTTTTATGTTTTTATTGATAAAAAAGTTAAAAACCACAAATGTTTGTCCTTCCACATCAGTTTCACTGTCTGCTGTTTCTGGAGGGATCTTCATGGAAGAGATCCAGAAAGTGATCTGCTCTGGTTGTTTGCAGGAGAATTAGACGTCTGGCCAACACCGCCCCCTCCTGGTAGGAGGCCTCCAGCACAGACCCACCCAGAACCATCTGGACCCACCCAGAACCATCTGGACCCACCCAGAACCATCTGGACCCACCCGGAACCATCTGGACCGACTGCAGGCCTCCCTCTGCAGATCACCATGTAGCGCCTCATGTAGTTTTTCTTCTGACCCGTTTCTGCTCCATGCAGCCTCCACCGTGCAACTGCAGGTTCTGGCCTCCAGAACCAGAACCTTCAGGTTCATCATGAAGACGCTTCACTCCCGGGTTACCATGGAAACCGCTGCTGGTTGGTGCCGACCGGAGCAGAAGTTCCTGCTTCTCACCAACCAGAACAAACCGATGCTCCTGGTTCTGCTTTAACCCGGTTCTGACCCAGTAAAGGTTCTGCATGCAGACTCATGTTTCCTGAGGAGGAGGAGCAGGATCTTCATCACGTGGTTCCCTCGTGGGCAGACCAAGGTCATTTCATCTCTTCTTTTGTAAATTGTTGGACCTTTTTATTGACTGTTTTTATATGAAAACAATAAAACAAAGATTAACCGAATATTTCCTGATGAAGTCATTCTTTATGATAAACCAGGCAGATAAAACAAAGTTACTGAACATCCGGGAAATAAAAGGAAAATCCGTGAGGAATAAAACGTTCATCGCCAGACTGAACAGTTCAGGAACCGTTCCTGGTCGTTCATCTGAACGCCCAGAGTGATTCCTTATCTTCATTAGAGGACCACGCTGTCAGAGGTCACCGAGTTTCACTGAAATCTTCAGTCCACATGATTCAGACCTCAGATTCATTCTCACCGGTTCCGTTTTCCTTTATTCCCGGTAAGTCCAGCCGCTCTGGACCGATCCAGCTCAATGTGCTAACTCTTTTGTCTTCCTTCGCTTTCTGCTGCTGATAAAGTCATATAAACACGGTTCAATGTTTGTATTTCTGTTTTATGATTATAGTCCAGAGTGAAACCAAACGAACCACCTCTCAAAACCCGTCCAGTTCTGGTCCCATAGATCTAAAAAATTTAATCAGCAAGTTGAGAATCAGTTTGATTTTTTTTTTCTGTTACAGAAAAGATATTGTTAGCATCAACAGCTAATAAGCTGTCTATGTTAAAACAATTAATTGTGTTTCTGTTATCTGATTTATTAAGCTAATCCACCAGAAGTTTGCGTTTTCTACTGGCTTCGTTTTTATTTTGGTGTTTCGGTTAAAGGACAATAAAAATAGATCCGTTTGTTAGCTAGAAGAACCGCTAAGCGAAGCCAAATGATCCAGATCCCAGTCTGTAGCTGGAATTCCCACAATCAATGTGCCCCGTGTTTTTCTGAAGTAATCTCGCGGTAAACAGCGAGAGTATAGTAGAAGCCGGTTTGGCGCAGTCCGCGGACTCAGGTAGCGGTAAATTAATCCATTTTAATTGAAAACCTGCAGAACCTGATCCAGGTTCGGATGATTCTGGGCTTATTTCGGACCCAGCGGACATTCTGCTCTGTTTAAACCGGGGAAACGGGTTTTAGCGGCCGCTGGAGTCGCTGACAGCCCGGACTATAATCACACTAACGGACCGCTTTTATCGGATTCGGTCCACGGAGGTGCCGTTCTGAGAACCGGACCAGAACCGAACAGGTTCTGCTCGGGGATTGTGAGAGGCTGATCCGGGTCAGAAGAACGGTTCTGGTTCTGGTTCATACTGTAGAAGCTGAGCGGGGATTGTTCTGGAGCGGATGGAGGGACATGTGACGTGGTGCTAGTCCGTCCATCAGTCCGGTTCGGTTCGGCCCGGTTCAGTCGGAACTTCATGATCCAGCCGCAGGGGACCCGCCTGGTCGCCGGACTGTTCTGCCAGTGCCGGTCCGCGGAGACCCACGCCAGCGTGGACCCGGGCGGGGGCTGCGGGCCGCCCCCGGTCAGCCCGCGGCCCCCCCAGGACTCCCGGTCCGGTTCGGACATCCCGGACTATGCGTGTGACGTGTGCGGCGGTCCGGAGCAGGAGCACCGGCTGAAGGTTCTGTTCGAGATCCTGGACGTAAACGGGGACGGCGGGATCTGCGTGAACGACCTGAGCATCGGCCTGAAGAAGCTGGGGGTCCACCGAACCGAGCACGAGCTGCGGGTAGGAGTCCGGTCCGGCCGGGTTCGGGACGGGTCCGGTCTGATTCCGAACGGGTCCGGGAGGTTCGGGATGGGTTCGGGTCGCAGCTCAGGTTACTGCGGACGTGCGGGTCGTGTTGGAGAACCAGCCCGCCATGGTTCCGGCATTCAGGTTGTTTATCTGGGTTCGGTTCGGTTCTGTTGATCCAAACTGGTCCAGAACTTTTCTTTTAGCTCCAGTTCCGAACTTTAACAAAGCCAAACACCCGAACTACAGACGGTATTCCTGGGCCACGCCCCCAGGTTCGGAACATGAGTTGGGTTTTTACAGCAGAACCTTTTCCAGAACCACGGGACCCAGAAGGTTCTCCTCCAGAACCTCCCCTGGTGTTTGGGCCCAGAACTGATCCAGACACACAGATGAACTGGAACCGGAGTATCCGGGTCCTGGTTCTGAACCAAACGTTCAGATCAGAACCTGGTTAACGGATCAGAACTCTGGGATTACTTTGTTTACATGTTGACCTGGTAATTCACCAGAACTTCAGGTTCTGGGAATCATCTGAAGGTCCAATCACAGGAGTTCTATTGGGTCTGGACTTTGACTGGGACGTTCTGGGCTCAGCTGCTGGGTTTGGATCCTGGCTCGACCCCGGTAACCCCTCAGTGACCCCAGGTCATGTGACCAAAGTCCTGCTGGTTAAACGACTTAAAGAACTGAAGACCCGACCCAACCGGTTCTGAAACTCCAGAACATTTTGCAGAGGAGGCGGGTTCTGGGCTCTGGGGTCAGAGGTCAGCAGTGATAAATGGAGGGGAACCAGTAACCCAGATCCAGCTGCCGATCGGACCTGACGGGTCACATGGTTCTGGTCCGGTCCGGCCCGGAATGTCTCGTTCTGGCCAGGCGGCTTCCTGGGAAACCTTTCCTCAGTGGGGAAGATGGCTGCCTGTCAGACAGGAAGTTAGCATGTTGTTGGCTTCCTGCTGATCAAACCTAAGAGTCGGTGCTTCGGAAAGCCAGACATGCCACAAATCTCCACAGCTGGCGGCCGTACCTGAAACGTCACAGTTTTATACGTTTAGGACGCCGTAAAATACGACGGAGGAATCCTGGCAAAACTCAACCAAAGTGTAAAAACAGTCAGTTTATATTTACGTCTCTGACCTGAGTTAAGTTTTATTCAGACGGTCTAACGGTGGTTTTTACAGCGTTTCACAGCTTCCTGACCTTCAGAATGACACTTTTTACTTTTTAATCAAACTATGTAAAAGTGGCAGCTGATTGGCTGCAGCCGGCCCGATGTGAGGTTCTGGTTCTGGATGCTAACGGTTCTGTTGGTCTGAGTCTGAGCCTCTGCAGCAGGAGGAGGAAGAGGAGGATGACGAAGGGGAAACCCTGCAGCCCCCCCTCCCTCTGACGCAGCTCCATGCTGAGAGCCGGGCTGTGATTGGCTGCCGGCGCGGCTGAGCAGTGTGTGCGGCTGTGATTGGCCGGCTGGGCTGCAGTGATGCTGCAGCGCTCTGGAGGATGACGCTGCAGCAGGCCGTCCCACAGCACCAGATGCTCCTGAACGCACCTCGGGACGCTGCGTCTCTCGTCCTGCAGCAGGAAGTGATGCGGTTCTGATCTGACCCGGCCCGCTCCAGGATGCTGCAGGAGTTCCTGGATCTGCTGAGCCAGGCCGAGGCGGCCGGTTCCGACCCGGCTGGTTCTGATCCGGCCCGGTCTGCAGGACGCTGCGAGACGCTGCAGGTGGTCCTCCAGAGAAGCCCCGCCCCCTCCGGCCAGGACGCCGCTCCCAGTGCTCCCAGCAGGACCAGCAGGTTGATCCTGACGGTGGCACCTCTGGACCTGCAGCAGGTACAGCATGGTGCGGTCCGGTCCGGTCCGGTCTGGTTTCTATTCTGAGTTCAGGCTCTGAGCAGAAAATCTGGTGGAAGGAAAACAGGAAGAAATTAGGTCAGCATGTATCATCAGAGATGCATGCTGACCCATTAGCTGGTCCAGATGGGTCAGAACCAGCTGGGAAACTACAGCTCCATCAGGATCATGGGTTCTGGTTCAGTGTGACCCGGGTCTGATGGGCAGTTCTGGAAAAATTGAAGCGGTTCTGATTCAGTGGGTCTAACTGGATCAGCGTTTAGGGCTGCTGGATGAACATTAATGTTGAATGTTAAAGTTCCTTTTAGGTCCGGTTCTGGTTCTGGTTCTGGTTCTGGTTAGAGCTCAGTCCGACTCCGTTCACCTGATGAAAAGTTTTCTCTCTAACGAATCCAGATAACTGAGGAAGCATGAGGCAATGGCCCCCGGCCCTCATGTTTCGCCCCCGGCCCTCCCTGGCCCTCGGCCCTCATGTTTCGCCCCCGGCCCTCCCTGGCCCCCGGCCCTCATGTTTCCCCCTCGGCCCTCATGTTTCCGCCCCCGGCCCTCCCTGGCCCCCGGCCCTCATGTTTGGCCCCTGGCCCTCATGTTTGGCCCCTCTCTGTGCAGCGCATGGTGACGGCGGGCGATAAGGACCTGGATGGCCAGCTGGACTTCCAGGAGTTCGTTCAGTACCTCCGGGATCATGAGAAGAAGCTGCGGCTCGTCTTCAAGAGTCTGGACAGGAAGAACGACGGTGAGACGGGTCGACAGGACCGGAACCGGGTCATGAGTCGGAACCTTTGACCTCTCTGTGTGTTTCAGGCCGGATCGACTCGCAGGAGATCATGCAGTCGCTGCGGGATCTGGGGATCCACCTGACGGAGGAGCAGGCCGAGGAGATCCTGAGGAGGTGAGAGGAACCGGGTCCAACTGGGTCGCTACGGGTTCTGCTGTGTACGGGCCAAAGATGGAGGGTTCTGGGCTGCAGCACGTAATCTCAGATAATCTCAGATAATCTCAGATAATCTCGCTGCCACCAGGTGGTTTTATTCTCAGATCCATCCATGTGAGTTTGTGCCGTTCTCAGTTGGTCCAGTTGGTTCAGATGGTCCAGTTGGTCCAGTTGGTTCAGATGGTCCAGATGGTCCAGTTGGTCCAGATGGACCAGATGGTCCAGATGGTCCAGTTGGTCCAGTTGGTTCAGATGGTCCAGATGGACCAGATGGTCCAGATGGTCCAGTTGGTCCAGATGGTCCAGTTGGTTCAGATGGTCC